GAAGAGTTCATTTCTTCGTTGCTATTCGGCCATGTTACAGCAGCAGTTAGCTGTGGTTTTGATAAATGGAAAACTTCCTGGCATCTGATAAACAGAAAAACATAGTTGCAAAAGACATTAACCGTTCCTAAAACCAACTGCTCCTTTAAACCAGTAAGTTTTTTCGCAAGAGAACATGAATAGATCTTCTACTGATAACCACCATCAAACACTGCTCTCTTGCCCACCCATATCTGGTATCCAAGCTGTACAATTAAAATCCAAGGATATGGTTACAAGTGCACTAAGCAAATCTATCTTCATAGTCTTAACTACATGAGGATCTAGAAATTTAAGTGTTTAAAGAAAATTAACATGGGTGTTGAAGTGACTTCTGTTTTCTTTCAAAGTAATTCCATCCCATCAGTGGTGTGGATTAATTATCAGTTGGATGAGGACCTTTCACTCAACAGTGACATCTGTCATGGATCCTCCAACTGGTTAGATTTTGAGTTTATCTAAGCATAACATCAAGGATGAACATGCCAGTTAGATCCCATAGTGAGCTGCTACTCTCATGTTTACCTGAGCTATTAATATACTCTGGTGTGAGGAAGTGAATTTGGTAGACGCAGCATGCACTCTGAAAACTGAACAATTACACAAGAATTGCTGCTGACTGGGAGGCAAAGTTCTGCTTTGAGGTGCTCCAGAGTAAGCATGTATAATCATTTAATATCTGGAAAAAATACAAGTGGATATATTCTTCTAGCTGTGAATCACTATATATAACTGACCAGGCTCCATCTGAATTAAAAGGTGCTTAAAAAACAGAAAAAAAAAAAAAAATTCTAGCTCTTCTATTGTTCAGGAAAGTAACAGTTTGCCCAGGGAAGTTGTGGATGAGCCACTACTGGAGGTCTTCAAGACCCAGTTGGATGGGGCCTTGCACAACCTGGTCTAGTGGGAGGTGTCCCTGCCCACAGCAGCAAGGTTGGAACTACATGATCTTTAAGGTCCCTTCCAACCCAAACCATTCTATGAATCTATGACTCTAAAGCTTTTGCAGACAAGTGAGCCTAGTTGTGTTACTGCAGTCAACTACACCATACAATCCTGCATGTAAACACAATGTTTCTAGAACTAGTTAGGTCATTTCCCACCCTGTCCCAGCAGAATACCAGTCCAAAACCTTACAAGTCTGATAGACAGTAACTTAAATTTGGTTTTCAGACTACATTTATTAATGCTGATCTTTTTCTTATGTCAGTCTTGGATTTTTACTTAAATAACACATCTTCCACTCTAACTTTTACTTACTTTTCTGCTTTATCTCTAAAGAGCAATAGTATTAGCCCAAACAAACAAAAAAACCCAAACAAACAAACAACCAGAAAAAAAAAAAGTAAACCCAACAAAGACCACACCAAAACCCAAACCCTTACAAATAACCAGACACTTTAACTATACAAGATGGCAGAGCCAATACATTTAGGGCTGGGAATGTATCTCTGCAGATTAAGTGACAAATTCTGAGACCTAAAGGAGTACACTTGCTGTAAGGTTTTGGCTTCTTGAGTCAGCTCACAGTCTCAGAGTTATGACAAAGCTGCCAAATGTTTTATGTAATTATTTTTATCTTTTCCAAATGCCCAGAAGGTCCACTAAGAGGAAAGCAGCCCCATCAGTTCCTGTGGCTGAACAGGCTGTAGTAGTGGAGACACCAACCTCTGCTCAACAGAGCGCCATTTTTGCTTCCCAACACACTCTACACCCTGAGTTTAGAAACACCTCCATACAGCAGAAGCTGATTGTGAAAAGCAATGGCTTACACAGAACATGGTTACACCACAGTAGCTGATAACTTCTGCAAGGCACAATTGAAAATACCAAACTGCACGCCAGCTTTCAACAGACAAACAAAAGATCAAACTAATGAGGAAGCTCTTTATGCTGTCATAAATAACACAATTTATGCATTTTCTAGCTGGAGAGTCTCATTCTTGCCCTATTCTTTACAGTATTCATATTCAGTGTAGCTGCTCTCTGGGACAGCTGATACTGACAGACAAATTATCTGAACTAAAGCCAAAACAATGGTTTTCCTTTTCTGTGTCTGATGACTCAATTGTAGTTACAGAGTAACTTATTTTTTGACTAATTAACAGATTTAAAATTGATAACAGATGTGTCAAATGGCTTTTTACTACAATTCCTGGTTTAAGAGCAACACAGAGACAAGAGAGTATCACAGAATGCCAGGTTGGAAGGGACCTCACGGATCATCTGGTCCAACCATTTTTGGGAAAACCCACGGTCTAGATAAGATGGCCCAGCATGCTGGCCACATTAACAATTGGTCAATGTGTCTACATTCAACAAACTCTATGAGAAAGGGTTGGCTGAGTCTCAAACTTGTCCAACCCCTCTGTAGTCCATGTGACCAGACCCTCCTACCACCTTTGATGGTGTCAGAACACCACCACTGCCAAGCTACTGTGGTAGCCAGGCAATGGCAAAGCTATCAATCCATACTGAGGCACAACTAGGTAGTTCTGCTTTCCTAATCATGTAATATACCACATTAAGCACCACCATTAGTCCCAGGTATTAATATTAAATCTGATTTTAAATATTGATAATTTGTAAAAGTGCCATGCAGTGGTATTCATTCAGCATGATTTCAAACACAATTCCTTTCAGTCTTGCATCTCAAAACAGTCATGCAAGTTTATCAACTGAAGTTTCCCCGTCCTTTATCTTTGTTCATCAGTTTCACAAGATACTCCTGTCCATTTTTTTGTCCCCAAAAAAGTCCTTTCCTACAAACATTACCCCATATAACTTGTGTCTCTCCCTTATTTCCCTCCTACCTCCCTTTCTGAGGAATAGAATCATAGAATCCTTTAGGTTGGAAGGGACCTCCAAGATCATCAAGTCCAACCATTGAGCCATTAGGGCTCTAAAGTCCTCTGCTAAGACAGATCAGAATAACAACCAGCTGCAAGGGTTAGAAAAAAATCACTGCCCCAGGATGAAAGTACAGCTATCAGCTTCTCTGCAATTCTAACACCCTGATGGATAAATCCTCTGAAGCTGTTGGAAAAATAGTTAGATAAATAAAAAATATTTTTGACAGTTTATTTGTGCAGAGAAATATACTGAGACTAAAACCCCAAACTGTAAGTGCTGATTTATAGCATGAAATAGGAAGTTAGCTCCTTCCTTATTACTTTAGTCTTAAGTTCTTGGCTTGAACTATACAAAAGGTTTCAGCTTTAGAGATATTTTTTTTTATTTTCTAAGAAAAAACTCCAAACCATGCCAAATGGAAATAAAACAGGAGGTATACTAATCTTCTGAGATCCCTTTGAAGTTTCAAAGATTGCTTTACTGATTTTGGAAAGGTTAACTGAAAATATAGTTGTTGTTAGAAGCATGAATGGATTTCTAACACAGAAATCTCAGTAATTTTTATGTGATATCAGTATCTCCTACACATATACTTACTATCCAGCCTATTTAAACATGTAATACAACTGGGTTTTCAAGCCAAAAAAGCTGATGGTAAACACACATTACTTGCATTGCTACAGTTGCACTGTGATAGTTTTCTCAACAGAGCTTAAATGTAAAGCCTACGTGTTTCAACTCACCCCTACTAGTTCTTGTCCTGCTTCCATTCCAAGTTTCATTTGAAAACAAACAAACCAACCAACCAACCAATCCAAACCAAACAAACAACAAACCCCAACCAAAACCAAAACCAAACCAAACCAACAGAACAAAGAAAACATCCTAAGCCAGTTTGAAACACCCAGGCCCATTAAATCACATTTACTGATAGAACTTAAGCCTTTCTTCATGAGCAGTCAGTCAGCAGTACCATGACTGAGTTACCTACTGGCCAGAACACAGGAGTATCAGATCTAAGAACAATGTTTGAAAATGGAAGAGGGTTTGGGGGTTTTGTTCGGTTTTCTTTCAAGAACCATGGCCATTAGTTCATTCTTTATAGGATTTTCTTTATAGTTTGTTCTTTAGACTTAAATTTGAACGTTATTTGTAAAAAGAGAATTTCATTTTTGTAAGAGTTTTCCCAGAAAATATTACAGTTGTCTTCAGTCCATAACAACTGTCACTGAACTTACCAAGTATGTCGATTACAGTGAATACCTGCATAGTGAACCTACTTCAGACTAGAACTGTTCAATAACAGTAATAGTTATTCCTCTTTGTCTCATTACAAGGTTACAAATAGAGTGTTAAAAAAAAAAGTGTTAGAAGTATTTATTTGCTCTATTTGAAGAGCAGATGTTGTCCGAAGTCATGCTGGGCAGTTATTTTATCATCTATATCTAATTGCTGGTAAGTGGAAGACAGTTAAAGATTTCACTGTCCACTTAAATCAGTTAGGAATACACCAAAGAATTCTAGTTAACCACCCCAGATTATTAAGTATTTCAGAGCTGTGCTCAATTCAAAACTTACTGAAGAGATGAATGGACATACAGCTTTAATCAAGGACTTCCACTTGAAATCCAATTCCATTACTGCATTGAATAAATTAATTTGAATGTCCCAATGCTACATAGTAATTAAAATGTTATTGCTTAAATTGCTAATATACTATCATCATGATAGCTGTTTGCAATTATTAATATTGAAATAAGGTAACAAAAGGTTTCCACTGTACAATTTTATTTTTTTTTTGTGCCTGTAGTTCAACTTAGACTGAAATCTGGTCACACACCTAAAAATTCTGATTATTCATCCAAATATTCTCTATTATTAAAATAAACAGAAGTATACCACATACAAAAGTGTTATTTTTATTTTCCTTATGAAAACCTGTGGCTTTTTCCAATAAGCAGGTTCACTTTTTCAGACAGATCTGATGATGTTGCCTCCTCAGAAGGAATGCATCCAAAAACGCAATTAAAATCTGTTCAAAAGCCATAGGATTGGGATGCTTCATAGGGCAGTAAGAAAAAAAGGTTTCCTGCTGTAGACAGTCCAAATTAATTCTTCCCTTTTTTCCTCTTCATTGCTTTCCATTCACCTTCCTGTGTAGCAAGGCTACCGAGCAGCTCTTTCACTTTTCTTTTTCTGATTGAATCTCTGTAATACAAACAATCAACATATAAAATATTTCAGAAAGATATTAGGGAACGAAAGAATTATTAATTCATTTTAAAAAAAAACACCTCTTAAATTTCACCAACACACACTTTAAATAAAAACATTCTGTATATTCTTAAACTAGAGAACTGAAACTGCAAAGCTGAAATCACTTTAAATGACCTCCGATAAAAATGGTTTTCCCCAAATTGTCCAATTTTATTTGTTTAGTGTGGTTGATCACCATTGTCAGTCTTGGCACGCAGCAAAGAGAGGAACAGAGAGCAGAACAGCCTCCAAACTGGTGCTGAAACCGAGGCCACATTACCTCTCCATGATTTCTTTAAGTTGCATCCTAGCCAGAAACTGGTTATCTTTCCGAATCTCACGAATGGCTCCTTTAAGTTCACGCTTGTGCTTCCGAATCAGCTGCTTTCTCTCTTGCTCCTTCTTGCTGCCTCCCTGTGTTCTTCCAAACTCTAAACTGAAATGAGAATGCATGTGTGAGCACAGAACACCTTAACAAAACCAGCTTTTTCATGTTTATGGGGAGTGAATTTCTGTATGAATACTGGGTATTTTAATTCCTGCATGTTATGTGATGAGCTTGCAATATAAGGAGCTGCCCTGAAGAACTCACTAGAAAAACACTCACCAGACCTTCTAACTGCATGTCATCACCACACAACCGACAAGCAGACAATATTTATGCTTCAACGCCCTGTATGGAGCCTCTGTTTTGAACAGACTGAAAATGCTAGAACGGAAAAATGAAAGGCGTCTGGAAAAAGATGGAATCTCCCAATATATTTTAAGTTTTTGCAGACCTCTGCAGATGAATTCTACCAAAAAAGTCTGATCAGTTCCTTGGGGATAAATGCACAGAGCAAAGGAAAGCTCTCCTCTTTAATTACTAGAATAAGTAAGGCAGACAATTTATGTCCCTGCAGATAACCAACATGGCTAAATAAGTCAGCAGCCAGTATAAAGCAGACTTCCTGAATCAGAGTACTATTATCTACAAAACCAAACTAGTGTTTAATTAAAACTGAATTCCAAAAATACACAAAAATGCACATGGTCCTTGCAAACTCTAAAAAAAGGGGGAAAACTCCAATTTTTTTGCCATTGCTGCTGTTCGAAGGTAGGAAGCTGCTTCGCTGGGGGAAAGAAAGGAATTGGGCAAGTAAGTGTGCTTAGAGGCAAGGTTGATATGACTGATTGTTATGATCTGTGATGCAGAATACAGGAACACTGCCTTGGCTTTTGCAGTGGTGAAGCATTCCTCAAGTACTTTCCTCATCCACCCTTACCTTCATATAGTTCATATACACATCTCTTGGTCATATACATATCTCCTTTTGTTCTTCAGACTTAAGTGCTTGACAGAGTTCAGTAAAGCATTTGATTAGATAACAACAACCACCTATTTTCATCTTGAAATTTATTCATTTGCAATTGATTATAAGGACAACAGTTGATTTCCAGTGCTATTTTTTCCGTAAGATAATTTTCATTCTATTTCTTTCAATTCCTCCTCCCTTTTCCTTTCCCTCTCTACCACCCAAGTAGCAGGTCCATTGTGATTTGTGCACAAATCTAGCAGAAAAACCGTTATCTGCTTTATGTCCTGTTTTCCAAATCCTTCTAGATTGCTCAAAATCTTAATATTTAAACACACTTTGCCCTTGCATCACGTGTTGTTTTACTTACACTTTGACAATTTTAGGTGTATACTGTTTCAATGGCATTGGCTTCTTTTTCTCACATATCAGCGGGGTATAGTGTTTTACTTTGTTCTCCAGCTCTTTCAGAGCACTGTGATACCATTCCTGAAAATGCAAATCAAAGTACAATTTTAAAAGCATACCAAAGACACCATAATTCACAAACTATTGTAAACTGAATCAGCAGTCCTGTTCTACCCATGTGTTCTCCTCCTGGGTAAAATCACTGCTATTCATCAGGACATTGCCAACACTGAAATGATGCAAGCCTTCCAAGGCTGGATTATTTTTAAACACTTTTGGAAGTCTATTAAGATGGTACCCTGGACAATAAGAAAGGTCTGCAGGTAGTTTCACCTAACAGGAAGAGCAAAGCTAAAGACAGTTTAACTCAGTCTGCCTTTCAGGGTCATTTTAAAAATGATTGTTCATTTTGATGGCAACAAATCTAGGCCGTTTTGCATCATTTATGCTAAAAAATCCTGTTCTCTGAGGATGTTTCATGATGCCTCATTGAGGAGAGGACAATTCCACTACATTCAGAAGAGACAGATTAAAAATGTGAACCTCTCTGCTAGAAAATAAACAACTTCCTTGTCATAAGTAAGGCAGCTGCTCAAGCACATGGATTTTAGTTTTACTTATTTATAAAATACTATCTCATCGTTTTGGTACACTTACTTGGTCTTAGAAAATCATTACAAAAGTACAAGAGCTGTACTCTGGATAACCAGACTACTATTCTTACAGATTAAGTCAGTCATGGAATGCTACATTACTACAAGCTAAGTGCTATTTTCTTCAGAGAGGCAAGACAAGATACATAATGAAGAAGTATCTTTTCTAAACATTCTTTGCTCTTTTTTTTTTTCCACAGAAACATCACTGTAATCTTTGAAGAGCATGAATGGCAAACAACCAACCCTTATTTGTGTTTTTTGTTTAAGCCCAGATAAAGATCACATAATTTATTAATAACACAAACATATCAATTATTCTTCAATTTAGTTCTTGAGGAACACATACCTGCATTTTTTCAGGATATTCATCCACTGGCATATGTTGTGTAAGCACAACCCTGATAGGATGCATTATTTCATGGAATGATGATAAAGGCTCATACAGAACTGCACATTTCTTTATAAGGTCAAAACATAGGGCTAGACATGATAACCTGTTAATGCACAAAAGAAGTAACTTCATTGCAAAAACTGTAGTGGATTTAAAAAAAAAATCTAATGAATTAAATTTGTGAGTGATATCAGCATGTAATATTAAGATTGCTTGACAGAACTAGTTACAATGCTGTTTCTAGTTGTTAAATCAGATTAAAAAATTCCCTCTCCTAACCAAACAGCCAAAAAAATCCATCAGCAACAAATCTTTATGTCAGTCAGTACACAGAACACAAACCTGTATTGTGTCTTTGCTGCTTATGTGGAGGAAGAAGTTTTCATACTGGTTCTAAAAGTGTGCTGTTAATGGTTCTGAAGTTCTAAAACTTCACTGAAACAGAACTAGTAATTTTGGTTTGGAGTTTTTTAGCTTCATAACAAAACGATTACTCAACCCTGAAAGAAGTTACACCATATGTGTACACATGTGCAATGTGAAAAATGAGGCTGAACATAGTTAATGAATGTGTTTAACTGTAGTCTTTCCTAACTAGTGTTTTATTACTTAAGCAACACTTTCTAACACAGCGTTTGTAAAGTAAATACAGTTATTTGGTTCTGAAGAGCTTCACATGTCAAAGTACTGAGCACCTCCTCAGTCTCTACATTATCCTCAGCAGTTCACAGCTGTGCTGAAGAGGAACAGAAGGCCTGAGAGCTCAAACAACTGCATAACCTTCTGGCAGAAGACTGGCTATTTCAATATATTTCATATCATAAAAATAAAGCTGAACAACTCACGCCTCCTATATATACTCCTAAAAAAATCACTGCCACTGAAACTACCCAAAAGATGATCTGGTATTTCTTCTGTTCACATTTCCTACGTACCTGATATGATTCATTTCTGTTCTGCTGGTTTCCTTTAATCTAGTCACAATACTCAGTGGCAGACTTTGTTTCTGCCAACTTTCCAGATCCTTCTTATCACACACCAGAAGCAGTTCTAAATTCTTCCCCACTGGTGTAAATGGATGGACTACTGTATAGCCTAAAACCCAAGAGCAATAATCATTAAACAAGATCAATTTTAAGCACTCCTTCTGATGGAACAAACATCAACAACTCTTCTTACTGCCTTCTTACTTAATCATACTGTCTTAAAAAATACTTAATCACTATTATTTTTTTCTAAAATAATGGAAAACACTGGAGCATGGGTACAATCATACTAAAACTCTAGCCACACCACCCAATTCACAGAATCCAAAGACACGGACTGGGAGAATGAAGTACTGCCCACCACAAGAAAAGATCAGGTTTGAGACCATCTAAGAAACCTAAATGTGCACAAGTCCATGGAACCTCATGAGATGGGACTGATACTCTAGAGGGAAGAGATGCCATCCAGAGGCACCTTGACAGGCTTGAGAAATTGGCCCATGCAAACCTCAGGAAGTTCAACACGCCCAAGTGCAAAATCTTGCACCTGGGTCAGGCCAATCCCGAAAATGGATACAGTGGACCGAGAACAGCCCTGTAGAGAAGGACTTGGGGGTACTGGTGGATGAAAAAAATATTACAAGCCAGCAATGTGAACTAGCAGCCCAGAAAGGCAATTGCATCCTGGGCTGCAGGGAAAGAAATGTGGCCAGCAGGATGAGGCATGTGATTCTCCCTCTTTCACTCTGCTTTTGTGAGACCCCACCCGGAGTACTGCGCTCAGCTCTGGGGCCCCCAACACAAGAAGAACAGGGACCTGTTGAAGCAGGTCAAGGAGGGCTACAAAGATGATCAGGGGGCTGGAGCACTTCCCTTGTGAGGACAGGCTAAGAGAGTAGGTGGTGTTCATCCTACAAAAGAAAAGTCTCTGGGGAGACTTTATAGCAGCCTTCCAGTACTTAAAGGGGGCCTAAAGGAAAGATGGGGAAGGACTCTTGATCATGGAAAACAGTGATAGGATAAGGTCTAATAGTTTTAAACTGAAAGAAGGCAGATTTGGACTAGGTATGAGGAAGAAGTTCTTTACTGTCAAAGTGGTGAGACACTGTAGCAGGTTGTCCAGAGAAGCTGTAGATGCCCCATCCCTGGCAGTATGCAAGACCAGGCTAGGTAGGGCTTTGAGCAATCTCACCTAGTGGAAGATGACAGGGGGGTTTGAACTTCATCTTTAAGGTCCCTTCCAACCCCAGACACCTATGATTGTTTGTACGGGGAGAGAGAGGACACACAGGTATATGTCTGCCCTTTGGGTGACAGGATTCACAGTTCAACTGCCAGTGAGGATGGAGTATTTGGATATGCTTAACAGGAAAGGGCAAGAATAGGACTCTTCCATGGAGTTACAAGTAGAAGGTTTTGACTAGAGCATGGTCAAGGAGCAGAGAGAGCTGGAGCAGGGAGGTCCCACAGTTTACATCACTGAGCCTCTCCTGTGACCTCTCAGCAGAGGACCTCAGATACATGCTATCAAGTCCTCTCCCACTGCAGCTAAGAAGTTTTAAAAGAAGAATAACAGGGAGTACACAATAGGTACTAGGGCAAGGAAGACAGAAAACACTTAAGAGTCCCTGTGCTTCTGATCCTAAGCTAACCTGTGAAATGGTACTTCCAGAGCAACATGAAAGAAGCCATGAAATTCCTCAGATACTAAGGGAGAAAATAATTTGCAGCCTCTAGGCTGGACCTGAGGGTTTTTTTACTTTGTTTTCCTTATCTCCTGCAAGCTTGCAAGCAAGCTTATTTCAAAACTTTTTAAACCATAAATTTACACGCTCTAGAACCTGTACATAGCTCTTTACAAACAGGCCAAGAGACAGTATGTTTAAATAAAGGTTTGTACGGTTTGAGACTCAAAGTTGTCAGAGATTATGACACACAGACAAGGAAGATCAGGAACCAAGATATGTGAGTTTTATTATCTGCTTTACTTGAGAGAGGACAGCAGATCTCATTAACAATTCCATTAGCTAAGATTATCAACAATGACAACTGCTCCCCACTCCCTCCTCCTCCAGCTTTTCTCTTTTTAAAGTAATAATTGTTTTTTAAGTCTAAAGTAGACCGCATTTCAGTCTTTTATGAAGCTGTACTCCATTTAATGTCTTCGTGTGAGAAATTAATGGATCAAGCTCAAAATTAAAACAATTATATTTGCTGATTCTACTTACTGTCAAATATTAACCCCAAGAAATTTTTGGTGTGACAGTATATCAACATTCCAGAGAACTGGATGAATGCTCATTTTAAAATATTCTGAGTTAACAGGCTAATTATCACATTAATCAGTAATACTTCCACTATGAGAATATTTAAAAACATAACCAGATACTTTGGTAACTTCAGAGCATCAATACCGAATGAAAAATTCTCAGAGAACACTGTACCTCTAACTTATCTTTTATTGAGCTTTTTGTCACCACTAAGAGAAACCAATACTATGCAAATTTAACTCGTGCAAAATATTAGCAGAAGTACAAAGGAAACTTATAAAAAGTCAACACTTGATCATCAATTACCATTAAATATATTAAAATAGTTTCTTATCTGATTTTGCAGAATCCTGTATTTTAACTGTACCAAAACCCTTTGTAGATCAAACATTCCTAAGAAAGTACACAAAGGAGAAAATACTTTAAGTGCTATGTAACCCACCCACTCTGTAACCTCTTCCCAACTCCTTCCAAGAGCTCGGCTGTTGGTGTTCTGGGCTTAGCTCTGATGCAGCCCAGCTGTGTAACCTTGGCTCACACTTCAGAGGGAACCACTAAGCTCCCAGGAGCAGCTGGAGCTTGTACAGCCGTACAAGACAAAGGTGAGACTGCAGCATGAAGCTTGTTGAGAAAGCGATCATTAATAGCTCAAGAATTCAAAAGAAAAAATAAATGCCAGCATGGAGAGGCACAAAAATCCTGAAGGGGTTGGAGGGAAGAAGGGAGCTGCAAGACAACCAGTCATTCCTTCTGAAGATGTACTGGACTACATCGGAGGCTGAACCTTCCTTACCAGACTGAGAACTACCTAGAGAACAGACACTCTTCAGGTGTCTTATCAAGAGTGATGAGTATATTACTGCAGCCTTCCTCAAATACCAGATGTCTTATAAATTTGCAAATGTGTAATTGACTTTTTTCACTTGAGAATATCCTTTCTGCAGAGTCTCTTCACACGTGCTAAGTCAAAACGACACTCAAAGGGACCCAGAGAGATACTAACACATGAATTAGTTCCTATGCTGAAAAAGCTGAGTGAATTATTGTCACTAAACTTGTGACTAAACAAAACTCCTCGAGGTTTAGAATAACTTAAAGCTAGAAATTAATCCAAAAGAACAAGTCAAAGAAAGAAGACTGGCAAATAATTTGCCAGCACATGGATCAAATTGAAAAGACAGTTTTATTCTCCCTGTTGTCTGTGCAAGTTGCCAAGTTGACACAGTTGTGACTGCATAGACTAAACCTGCTTGTGGGGATAGCTGCTCTCTGTTACACAACAAATCTATATCAAATACATAAAAAGGAAAAACACCAACTTTGTGACACACTTTTCTCATTTATCTCAGTGATAGGGCTCTTAGATAAAGAGGGAGGCTGTCTGCAGCATTACCTGCTGTCTCACTGGGAAGATACAGGGTACTTGGCAGGAATGTGAATTACAGAGCACAGCCTAATCACACTATCTGTAAGAACAATATTGCAAAAATACTGCACTCTGGGCAACATGACTTAACTTCCCTTAATAACTTCAGTTCTTTCCTTTCTGCCAAGAAGACTAGAGGATCTAGCTCATAACAAGATACCCAAGAATCAAAGCTGTGTGTGGCTAACTTAGCAGATGATTTTGGTCTTTGTTTGAAACAATAATATCAATGTGAAAGATTTTCCTTGAAATTTAAAAAATAAACCCTAACACTAAAATTTATTACTCATTTACTCTAAACAAACTCACCTTGGGCTTGTTTTTTGGGTAGAGATATGTGAAGTACTCCAAGAAGAAAATTGATGAGCTCTGGTACAAATCTTCTGGAGAAAGATACATATTCCAGGAACAAACAGCATATAAATAACCCTTTAATAACATCTTGCAATGTTGTGATGCGACACTAAAGGAAAAAAAAACAAAAAAGCACTAAATATTCATAATTAACAGTCTATACATCACAAATATAGGATCTCCCAGAAAGCAGAATTATTAAATAAGTTGCATACCTTTAAAATCTGTAAAATGATACCCTTTGGACTTATACGAAAAACATACTGGCATTTCCTTGACCTTTCTAACGAGTATACACATAATTGAATAAGAAGTCTGTCAGAACTAGTTTAGCCACTAGAAGGTGCTAAACCACAAACAATAAGTTCTTCAGAAATGAAGTAAGGAAATAAAAGGCTCATAGCAACTTGGGATATCTGACAGCAGCAAAAAAACTAGCTCAAGACTTTTGAAACATACAGACAAGATATTTGGATAGGAAAATAAGGACCTATTTTAACCGCACTTCAATAGGCACATTTTCAGGGAAAATAAATACTGCCAATTTCTAGGTAAATATCTTTTTTAAGTAGGAATGAATGCAATATATGGAAATCACTAATGAATGATTTCAGACTGTATTCAGCCTGTTCTATTAGTCCTATGTAATTTGCTATATAAGGAATTCTTTTAAGAGAGCTTGAAAAAAAATGACTAGAAATGGTTTTGTGAGTGGGACTGTACTCTGCAAGAATTTGTTCCTCTTCACTTTTTGTTCCAATTACTATCTGTGACTATACCAAGCACAAGACTGACTTTTCAGTGCATTTACAATATATACATTAATGCTAGTACATATATTTGTAATTCTAGGAAGAAATAAGGAAATGAAGTTACATACTGAAATACATACCTTAGTAAGTAGCTGACTCATGTAGATAAAAGCAGGCGTTACAACCGGATGCCAGAAGTCAGAAGTTGGAAACAGCAGAGATGTAATTTTCAAATAAATAAGCTGATAGCACACAAAACAGAGTAAGGCAAAATACAGTTAACACAGTATTCCCAGGATCTTGACTTCACACATTGGTAACTGATGAAGAAGTAACTTCACAAGCAGTAGTCTCAAAATACTGCAACGCAGATAATTTTGAGAAATCTGATATGCTCCATGATGCATTTATTGGACAACTGTTTAAGTTACATGATAAAATGGAATATCCATTAAAGGTGTAACACTGCATTAATACAACAAGGCAGCTGAGAAGAGCACCAAGAAGGAACCATGCCTCCCAATGCCATTTGCTCCATAAGAAAATCTGACCTTCTTCAGCCCACCACAATCACATCCTTTAACACAACAAACAAGCAAATGGCCACACAGGACCCGTGACACCTTTCAACAAGTCCTCAACACAGGTAATTAAGTGACCAGTATCCTTGGGTACTAGCACACATCAACAAACAATGAACTAAGTTGTGATTAGGTGCATTTTTACTGAAGGGGACTTGTTAAGAGAGCTACAATTGACCTCCTGTCAAGACCATAAGGATGTTAAAACATCAGCTGCAAGGTAATTCTGAAAATTATCGAAGTGGACATTTACACAGTAACCTAGATGCAAGTAAAGTCTTATTGTTTCAGCTCTGTTCCTCTCTATGAAGTTTCTGTCATAAACAAACATTCTCCTGAACTGTTCTGGTTACTCAGTACCACAGTCCAAATTTCAGATTAGATGTAATTACAGGCACATATAAGCTCTACTAATACAACTGGTCTAAGAAGGGTTCATTCAAACAAGGGCTTTGAAAATAGGAGAGTGATATAATTCCACCTTAAAAGATAATGATGGCTTGACACCTGGAAAAGTCTACTGAAGGGAATAAAAGTCAGTGGGATTGGTGTCATAAGGGTGATAGTGACAAAATAAAAATAGAAGTTAAAAGCTCTCTACAATACATTTCCTGAAAAATCCAAAACATCCTGAAAAAAGACTTCAAAAGAACTCAATATAAATATTTTTGAAGCTGGAGAAACGAAGCCTTCTAAGCAAATCCTTCAGTCTATTTTCTTTCAATAGTCTATTCCATTCGGCAGCACTATTTCATCAAGTTGGGAGAAAACAAGTAGCTTCCTTTGAACTACTGACTTCTGGTTTGCCTTTGGAACTCTTTACTAGAATAAACACTCATTTTCCATACATCCATTCTTGACTGTCCTAACAGCCCTTTATCTAGACACTGAAAAAGGAGTCTCCACATTCAGCACAGCCATAGAAATTTTGAAATATTACTAATATAAGACAGAAAGGTAAATGCTTTGAGCCATTAATTTAGCAATTATTATATAAAAAAGTACTACGAAATTTGTGGGTTTATACCCATAACAGTATTTGTTATTGATATAAGGTGGCTAACATAAACTAGAAAGAACTTATAAAGCTAACTATTTGTGTATTGATGAAGAATAACTAACATAAAATAGAGAAGATTTATAAAATTAACCACTTGTGTAAAGTAGCATAGAATTGAGAAACTCATTGCCTTGCTGATCACTGCAAAAGTGCTTGAAGAGAAGCAGATGCTTCTTTGATCTGCCATCCCAGACAGCTAACAACCCCTTATCTGAGAAAATGGTTATAGAAGTCAGAATTCCCAAGCATTCTGCATCTCTCGGTAGAACAAGGGAGAAAGGGGCTATTGAGATCTAACAAAGAATAACACACACTGAGGAAACACAAAGTAACATCCCTCACCAAATTACCAGAAGAAAACACAACTACTAAGGGAGAGCAGATGTTCACCAAGGACAAGAACCGATCAAAACCAGTGTGATTCATTACACACTTTGAAATATAAAATTAATGTCATCTCATATTTGCTATCATTTCTCTCCTAATGGAAAGAAAAAGAGATTTTCCTAGCAGCACGAGTTCATTACCATGTCTAAGCCTGGAAACGCTGCACGACCTTTGACTTCAACGACTTCTTCCATATCATGTGCAGCGTCTCGAAGGATAAACTTAATCCTGTCACTGGCTGCCTCAGGAAACATCTGGCAAAGATTGTACAATGGCCTATTAACAAGAAATGTACGTTATAATCAAGTTACACCACTGGTGTTAATAAAAAACTGATTTTTAAGCACTTGAAAGAAGATTCGAGTTCCATCTACATGATAACAATAACTAATTCCCTGAAACAAATCATTAGTATAGAGATTATTATTGTAATGCTTTTGGTTTACAGAGACATGTATTTTTCACTGGGCCTTGTGAGTTAATCTTTGATTTGGTGGTCTCCAAATCTTAAATTAAAAAACTAATTAAAACCTTTAAAATACACTTCCAAGTCATCTGCTATAGTTAAAACATATCCTTCTGAATCTCCTAATTCTATGTTTTACTGCACTGAGGTATGCTGCTACAGACTAGGCATTCTGCTATTCTACTCTTAGGCAATGTTAAACAACTTGTGAGGCAGCAATGTGGTTAACAAAGTTATTATTTAAAACAAGAAAAAATACCCACAGAATTAGGTCAGCTCCTGGCCTATGGTTAGTGCTTAGAGAGAAATGCAGTCAGGAGCTCGCATTTGCTTGGTCAGATTTTTTCCAGTATTTTCAGTTAAAAATGTCTGTGGTGATACTAAGAAATTCTACATTTAGGAAATAATAAAAACATGTTTACCCTTTTTTTACAAAGCCCCAGCATGTGCAACAGTCTGAACTGGTCACTGCTCTTGCTGATAAATGCAACAAAGCAATGAATGCTAAAGCTGTACGTAACAGATTTTTTTTAAAAATAAAAAACATATGCTGAGAACTACATACAAATTACTCAGTGAAAAAAAGCTGTCTAAGCCTGCAAAGTCAAGATAGGAATCACAGACTAATTTTGGTTGGAAAGGGACCTTTGGATATCATCTGATGCAACACCCTGCTCAAAGCACGGTTACCTTCAAAGCTGGATCAGGTTACTCATGGGTTTGTTGAGTTTTCTCTATCTTCAAGAGTTCAGATTCCACAGCCTCTCTGGAAACTTGTTTTAATGTTCAGCACCTTTGCTGTGAAGACTTTTTTTCCTTACATCTAACTAGAGTTTCCCTTCTTGCAATCTGTGTCCATTGACTCTCATCCTTTGCTGTATACCTCCGAGACAAATTTGGCTCTCTTGTCTTCAAACACCTGGCAGGCAATTGTACTGACAACAATGCCAAATTGACAATTTCCTGCAAAGTGTTTATTTGGAACTTTTGTATGAGCTTACTATAAGACTCTTTAATTTAATTTTCATCTAGTTCCCTGAGTGAATTCACAGAATTGAAACCCATGTGAAAAACAAAGATTGCAGAGGGAACTGCACACTGTCATTGCAAAGTTTAAAAGCCCTAATCAGCAGCCTAAGTGATTTCATATACAAAGGTTTGCATGCATACATGGTATTATTTACTTCCTGCCCATGAAAAGCATTCTGCAGATCAAAAGTTATGTTGCGAGGTTTTGAAAATGTCTCAGTACAATTAATAGTTCAAGCAATATGTGAATCAAAGTTCAAACACTGCAGAGCTGGAGAGTCATCAGCTCCCTACAATTCCTACAGAACTATTTGAAACAAACAACATTCCAAATGCTTCATCTTAGGTAGCTTTTCTCTTTAAATCATAAAGTCCATAGGATTTATTACTTACAGGACCAGTTTGTCAATTGTTCTGAGCTCTGGTAAATCCAAAGTTGCTAACTCTCCAATATACTCCAAAAGGAAGCCAAACAATTTCTGCAAGAGGCATAATATGTTAAAATTGGATATTTTTCTTCATTGTATGTATTCTTAAGTAGCACAAAAGAACAGTGATACAGAAGTTATAAAATGAAGAGTGGTACATTGATTCTACTGCTATTTACAATATAGAAGCATATATGCTTTGTAATGCTTCCTGAAAGCTTACTAAAACTTACTCTGGAATTCAAAGTTAATTTATACTTAAAGCAAAACAACAAAACTCCCATACTTCCAACTTTGCTTTGTTTCCCACTGCAAGGCTTGGATGATTGCACTTCTGAATTCTCTCCAGTATAATAAGCTGTTGTTCTGTTGTTCTCCCAGCCAATAAAGACTTAAATGTCTCATAGGACTCAGGAACTAAAAAGTAAAAACAAAAATTTACCAGGCAAAACCCTTAAACTTAACATTTAATTCAAACGGGTATCTAAAAAATTTCCAATTGGAAAATGTTATTATTACAGAGCAAAAAGGCACCATAGAGGTCTTAATCACCTTTTAAACATTAAACATCTATCAGCATATGTGTAACATTATACATATGAACATAAGTTGGGAAATAATGTAAAAAAGTTTTCCAGTGATTAACATTTAATTCATCCTGTGTTTGCTGCCTAAGCTGAGCACAACCATGTTGACACCCACAAAGCAGAAACTAAGAAACTTAAGCAAACATTCAACCATAAATTTACCATAATACAATTACCTCTATGTTAATAACTGACTTGCTCTTGCATGAAGGTTATTAAGAAAAGTGAGAATCTTGCCACTAATAGAAAATAATTAAAAAAACCCCAAACTGGCATATATTTAATCTTCTACATAAACCTACGTTAGAAAAGATCATAACTGGTTACGTTTTTTGAGTTATTTTATTGTGACTGCTTTCTGCTTAAAGCAAAACCTGAATGCAATTTAAAATGCTTTGGGTAATAAGTTAGCTTTTTCAGATAGATGAATGCAAACAAAGAAGTGTATGAAAGCTTTTTTAATCTTGCAACATTAGTATGGGGAAATCCACACTAGGACAATAGTTAGATGCATAATATTCCTAATATTAATGAACACTTTGCATACCACTTGAAAAGTGCCTCCTCCTTCCTCCTAGGCACAGACCCATAAGAAGTCAGATTTTGAGAGCCTCTGTTTAACAATACTGCAGTGTTACATCTTTGGGACTAAAACTCAGAATCCTGCCTCTCTAAGCATTTTCTCTGACAAAGATGTCAGTCCAAACATGTAGAAAGTAACCTTTTCTCATTTAAGCATAGATAATAGAATACTGTTCTGGCTTCCCTTACACAAAACGCTAGCACTTTGGGTTGGATGTGTTGGTGGCCTTCAGAATGGAGTACAGATCTTCTCATTTTTCTCGCCAGAATTTGTTTTCAATTCTAAGGCTGCTCAGAGGAACAGCAACAGATGCTTCCCACTGCTCACAGTGTGACTAGCGCTGATCACTAACTAGAGAAGTTATTGCCTGCTCTTGGGAACGGTAGAAAACAACTATGAAGCCAAACTTCATGGTCAGAATACCAAAGGTCCTGCAGGGCAGATAAAGAGACTGGTTATAAACCCCATGAAGACACAACAGGGATCTCTGGATCAGTCCTTTGCTTACCAGTAAATGTATACGGGAGCTCTGATTTGGCATCTTTCATTTTTTGATCTAGTTCCTCCACATTCTGTGATTCAATTTCATTTGTCTTGAGTTTCTTCTGTTCTTTATTCCCTGCAGCTTCTTCTTCACTGTCAAGGTCAGAATCAAGATCAGAGTGGCTATCTACAGCAACATCTTCCTCATCTTCATTAGCAGATTCTTCCTCACTTTCTTCTTCATTTTCATCATCTTCCTTCCCACTTTCATCCTCATCTTCTTCCTCCTTGTCTTCCTCCTCCTCCTCATTTTCAATATTAATTTTTCCATCCTGTCAGCAGAGAAAATATGACAGATAAAACACTTACAAAAAAAGATCAAAACAACACTTACAGAAGCATTCTTAGTTAAAAAAAATATATTCCTTCTGTGTATTAAAATAACATATCAGAGAAACATTTGTTCCCATCTTGATTTTATTAATCTTCAACTTAAATTCACATTCACAATATGCTCTCTCCGCTTCAAGGACAACTGCAGTTCCTTTGCTACTTCTGCGTAAGAAGATGAGAGGATCAGTATGCACAGACGTGCACCAGAGTCAGGGTGACTAACTACATCAGCTTAAGTTATATTGCTCTGCCACCTTAATGAATGCTACTTCATAGGGAAGGGTGCTTTCAGAAACCCACACATCCTCAGGCTGAAATTTGGTGGAAGCTGTATTAAATACAGTGGCAATTAAAGAAAGAAAGTTTACTAGAAGGGCTGATTCTCCTGTCTTCTTTTCAGAACTCCTACCTCTGAAATTTTAGACCTTACCTTGTAAGACAATAACTGTCTGTCATCTTTATCCAGGATGAAGCCATCAGCTAGATCATCAGCTGACACATGGCTGGGTTTCTTTCTATCCACCTGCTCATCTATTCCACGCATTCGACGTAGCCGATCGGCCTGTTTTTTACAAGAAACACCACACACAGATGTGAGTCATCTATGTCAACCAGGTAACCACACCAGAATGGCAGATGCCTCAAATATTACAGCTTAAAATAAATTAAAAAATAATAGCAAAAAGATAACTATGATTATTCAAGTTGAAGAATAAACAGCAGCTAGAGAAATAACGGGCAATAGCTGATGATACCTTATTCTTGTGGGGAGTGCAATCTGTTAGACAGTTGGATTAGCCTCTCCGGAAGGCTTTAACCACTGTTTACCAGAAGCATTATATTCTCTCATTTAAAAATTTAACTATTTTGTTTATGAGACATCATTACCAGAAAATGCAAGTTCTAAAATATTTTATGATTCATGCGGTGTTCGTGTTTTCCCTATGAATAACAAATTTGTGGTAAACAACCATATCCTAAATTTTTTTAAGATATGCTAAATTTTTAAACAGACTCAACGGACAATATCTGAACCAATCACTAACAAAAGGATTTCCACCTGGGCAACCAGATAGACTGTGCATCAAACAAGATGACAAGAACAGAAATGGAAAAAAAAAATTAAAAAATCCTTCTTTCTGTTCTGCTACTAGCTACTGAGCTGTTCTGAGGTAACCTGAAGGTACTGAATCCCTGTGGGCCTAAACGTGTCCTGAGTATACTCAAACAAAAAGAAAACAAGGGGAGAAACGTTTACAAAGTTATTGAATCTTTCCATAAGACTTGGAGCTCCAAGTAATAAAGCACATGTTTCCCAAGAGAACCCTACTCCTCTGCAAACCAAAGCTATATATATGCTACTGCTGGAAGACTCTTGCAACACCAAAAGAAAAAAAAAAAAATTACTTGCCAGTTTATTAATTCAACTGCTGTACAAGATGATTCTTCCCCTTACTGACTTAGAAGCACCTCTCAACTCTGAATAATTCAAAAAATTTCAAGGCAAATTGAACTGGTATTACATTTTTGCTGAAGAAAGACTAACTTATTTCATAAACCTCAATAGTTACATACTAAGCTTGTGTTTCTGTTGTACTATCAGATTGCAAACAAAACACAAACAGAAGATTTCCTGAATTCACCCTCTGAAGAACTGCAGTTTAGCAGAGCCACTTTCAGTCTAAGGTCAGGCAATGAGTACAAGTGGTCACTCCCAAAGGACAGGCCAGAAAACAATCTAAAACCATAAATGGTGTACCTCCAGCTTCTGGAGTCGTGCCTGCTCCTCTTTTGCCAATTCTTCTTCTGTCTTCATCCTTTCTGAAGGTTTTGCTTTCATCTCGAATCCAAGTTCTCGAACAATCATATCATATTCATCAGGCTGAAGAAATATTTATATAATTGTTTATTATAAGTTTTATTATTCTGCTTTGCAGCCACCCCTTTGCCAGGGTAGCAGCTAAGAAATAACACTGTTAAGATATACAGAAAAGACTGTTTCCAAGAAATCTGCAAGAAGATTTAACTCAATATTAAGACAAGGAATGGAAAGAACACTTGAACAGAAATTCTCCTGGAATTTCCCTCTCCCCTACTTAGGTTACTGACAACCAAAAAACCTTAAAATAATACCTGAAAAATACCTGGTTTACTTATTAATTGAAAAAAATTTAAACACTCAAAGAGCAGCTAGAATTAATAAATTTATAGTTTACATTTCACTTTATACTGTTGGACTTGAGCTACGTCTTTGTTATTTTAGCTACATAAATGTCCATCAAAGTAAACAAAAAGGGATGATGATTTTCAGTGAGTTTAAGGAACATACTAGGGAAAATGGTCACTAGCAGAGATTACACTTGGCTCGCAAATAGTCTTCTTGATACCTGCTTAAGTCACTAAACCACACAGCTCCTCTAAATATCAGTTCTAGGAATTCCTCCTCTTATACATCAATAGATCTTTTCTCCAATTCAATGTTAATGTTGTAAAGCATTACTAATCCGCACTTTGCATCCTTGATAAATCTTAAATTGGATCCACACACATGAAGCAAGGGAACTTCATCTTCCTTTTCAGCAAATTATGATCACCAAATTTCTGTTTTACATTCCATATTATATTACAAACATTACTATTCAGCATGTTATGAAACATTTTAAAACTGAAAATGTATACATCAATGTATACATCAAAATATAAATTTTTGATCAAGATTCTTCTGTTCGTTATTTGAGATCAGTTTTAACATAAGACCAGTTCATCAGTTCAATCTTTCAAAAACTGAATTCTACTGACAAGGAATAAATGGAAATTCAAGATGTTCTACAATACAATACAAAATTTCTACAAGAAAAAATAGCACAACGCATTACAATACCTATCCGTGGACTGAAAAGTTTATTTGCCTTAGTATAGAATGCAAATTTATAGAAAAAGCTCTGAGACCATAAGATATCTAGTCAAAAGTTTTTTCATTCCCTTTTTGTAGGGACACTACCCAATTTAGAGCAAGGAAATGTTTGTTGTCAAATAGAAGGTGTTTTATCCAACAGAGAATGCAAAGGCATTCCAGCTAAGTCAATGTTCTCAAAAAAGTTAGTTCTTCAAGAAAATGCATTTGTCATAAACAGAAGCTTTATGCAACCTCTCTCAGACTTGATGACTAATGAAAAGCAATAGGTAATTAAGAACTGATTAATAATATAAAACCCTGTATTCCTCCAACTAAGCAACCTGTCCTAAATCTGTAGTGTTGCTTCAATATAAATAGCAGGCAACTTTTTATTTTACAAAGTGATGAACTTTGCCTTGTATTTCAGCTAATATGAGTTAAAATCTCAAGTTACCAGAACAAAATAAATTTATCTAGTCAAAACCTTACCTTGGGTTTTTCTGTTTCTTTGTCCTTTCTCTCAGACTTTGGAGTTTTGCGGGCAATAAGAGTTTGGATTTCCTTCCACTCATTGTCAAGCTTTTCTGTGAGTTCTAATGCACTTTCTCTCCGAGTTTGCCTTTCTTGCTAGAGAAAAAAAAAAAAAACAACAAAACAAAACCAAATGCAGCAGTTATGTTCAGATGATCATGACATAGCATTTACACCATAAAAGCAAAATGCTGTCTTCAGCAAATAAATTTAAATATTTGATGTTTTAAAGGTGCAAAAGTTCTTTGTGGAAGAAGCAGTACAGAATTACGCTGAGTGGCACAAGGGCTGCATACAGAAAACAAGTTAGGACTCATCAGGAATGAAGATTTGGGAACACAAAGAATAGCAGATATTCAATGCAAATCCTAAAATGCCTAAAACCCCAAGTCAGATGGATTTTATTCAAGGAGATCGGACTCTTCTTAGACAGTTGTCTCCTTTGTCTTCTGTGCCACTACCATTTTATTCTGGGAAGACAGAAAATGTGACAGCTTCTTAATCATGGTCATTTATATGTCAGGGATAAAAACTCACCTTTTCTTGTTTAGATTTGGCTATCATCTCTTCTATGAGTTCCTTCCTAGATTTAGGTCTTTCCTCCTCTTCACCTTGTTGCTCACTTGACGCTTTTTTACGAAGGAGACCTCCACCCCCTCCGAAGTGAGCAGCAGTTAATTCAGCTAGGGGAGGAAAACAGTGGGTTTTGAATCCTTTTCAAATTCATATGTAAGTGCTGGAGTGCTGCTGCTGGGACAGTATCTCACTAGTCCTTGAGAATGGGAGCAACTAAAACTATTGAATCAATCCTGTACTATTCCTGTACTACTATGAGAATGGCGACACCAAACGAGATAGATGCTAGACACTTAATTTACACTGGCAAACATTTTCTATGAGGTAAGAAGATGGTTTTTTTTTCAATGTTTTAGCTAGAATTCAGGTGCAGAGGTGCAAGAAAGCAACCAGAAAACTCACTCCGCAGATTCTGCCCAAAGAGCTCAAAATACAGGTACCTATGCATTCTGAAAAGTCTACAGATTAAAGAAGCTTGGCAGGTAGGTAGTTCCAATTTAATATCTGCTAAAATCTAGGGAGCTGTTCTGTGTGTTGTTAAGAAGTAATAAAATCTGGCTTAAACATCCCAAACAATTACATCATGTTCTTTCTCACTGAAAGACAGTACTGAATAAATTCTGTACATCTACTAACAATAAAACCAGCAGTGAGATACTACCAGACATGTCTTACCTGATAGTGTTCCTCCTTCTTCTGTGTCACTGTCACTATCAACAATATCATTTAGTTTTTCAATTTCTGCCAAAGATTGCCCATAATGAGTCAACTCCTCATCTTCATTAAGATTATAGATGTTCTTCTTTCCATAATTTTGCTAAAAGCAGGAAAGGAAACAAAGTAAATAAATATTTTTTACCGCTCAGGCAACAAATTAATAAAGCCTGTATTTTTCATGCTAGTTGAGGAGATTCTTATTCCAGTGTTCTGCTGGAACACAGCACTGGACCAATATTTTCATTCAAATACATTACACCTTAAGTGAGGGAGCATGATGTCTTATTGCTATACTAATGTACAAATAAAGTAACTCAGAAAACCTAAGGAAGCTTAAGTTTCACCTACGTATCAGTAACAACAATGCTTAATTACTACATTTCAGGCCTCATGAAACAGGTTTTAACCTATACAAATTATAATTAGGATATGATATTACACTAATCAGTTCTGAAGACAGAGTATGATGAGGCAAAGAGAACACTACTGCCCATACAATGCACGTTACAAAATGACAGCAAGTTATGGAGGTCTAGTCAGCAAATTAAACAGCTGCTGTTCAACAGCTCTATTGGAATCTCGAAGTGTACTGGATTGTGGTTGCCTTTTCCTAATCCAATTCCCAAATCCTAGTAGCCAAAGCAATCAAAGAAAACCAAGCAGACAAAGAATCTGCTTAAAACTGGCTTTCTTGCATATCAGTGCTCCAAGAAACTTCTGTTTCAAAAAGTCATCTTACAAAACGAGAAAGTTTTCATTAAAAACTTTGGATTCCCACAGAAGTTCCAAACATAAAATCAAAATGAAAGCACTACCCTGCAAACCCCTTTGGTAAGGGGGACACCCCCAACCTAAAAAGTTGTGTTATTTCTGGTTTTCGATTTATTTTTTTTAAATTCATATACTTTACCTGTCTTTCCAAAGTGAATCGTCTGATCATCTTTTCCTCTGGACTTATTTTGGTGTTATATTCACCAAAACGTTTATCTTTAAACACATTTGTCTTTTCCCTCTCTTTATATTCTTTCAGCAATGTCTGGGTACGCTAGGGGGGGAAAAAAAAAAAAAAGCCAAAGAGAATAACTACTTTCTAAGCCAAGGCAAAACATGCTCCACGGTATTCTGACAACAGTCTAACCTATCACAGCGCAATGAAAGAGAAGGAAAATCTTACAAGAAAAGAGGTAGAAAGGTCACACAATATATTCAGCTACAGAGTTCTCTTACAAGCTGCCCACATGGTGTATCTCATCTTTATCACATATAAAAAAATCTGCATTGCCCCTGAAGAATTCTGATTTGTCTGACGTTTAGTATACAAGAATAATGTATTAAAGAAAGTAAAAAGCCCCAGTGTCAGCTGAACCTCTTTTGGTCTTGTCATCTAAGACACAAAACACATCCCAAGAGGGTATATCTGCTTTAGTGTTGAGCACAGGGAGGTTATGCATCAAAGCAGTAAAAGGAAGCTCAGCAGACCTGTATGAAGTAGTACGTGCTCCACTTGTGGTATAGGTAAGGAGACAGGTTTACTTTTCAATGCTGGTGATCTGGTTCATGACAAGCATTCCGTTTACCTTACTGTTAAATAAAACCCATAAGACCTTAAAATGTGATATTAAACATTAATAAAGTTTTCTAAAATCTGGACAAATAGTAATTAAGACTGCAAGCTGCTTTATAATTTCACACTGAAGATACACAGTGTCTAAAGGAAGAAAATGCTGGCCGTGTTTAGACTGAAAAAAAAAATCTTTATTTAAGACACAATAACTGAATCTCATGGCAAGGTACTGTTGCTATTCATATTAGCATGAACTTGCAAAGCGCTGCACTGAAGGAAAAGGCTGAGTTTCCTACAACAGGCCTCTGCAGCCCCACTGAGCATTCACAACTTTCAGATGCCACTGTGACTGACACCAGAACTCAGGTTTCCTCTATCACTGCCAGTTCTGCCTTGTATTTACTTCTTGCACAGAATATGTGAACTATTGTGCAGCTTAAACACTGTGCATGAGCTTCAGTATCTCTCAATATCCTGGACACAGAAAAGCACTTTATCTATTATTTGATGTCCTCTCTCATTGATTACTTTTATTAATAAAAATGTATTTAATGCATCACCTCTCACTCTGCATGCAAAATAATAGACTATTTCCTTCCCAGTAAATGCTTTAAATTCTGTTCAACAACACATTGTATGTAACATGTCAAAAAGAACCTCATGGGCAAACTTTCAAATTATGCTTTTTTCAGCTTTAACAGAATCTACAGAGATTTTTAGTTCTTTCCTGGTTTGCTTGCAAGGACAGAACATTAAAAATTCCAGTAGCTTCATTCTAGGATAGGGTAGGTTGCTGGAATCCCAGATGCACAGTATGACACAATGTTCTCCCTTATATGTTACAGATTTTGGTCCAGTAGCTGGTGATGCCAACACAGACAAAAAAAGAGGCAAATTTTAAACCAGCATAAGGATGCAAGACAAAAGATTTACTCAAGTTGTATAGTCATTCTTATGAGAGCAATGAGAATGGATCATTATTTTGCATCCCAACATACTTCTACAACACAACTACTTAATTAAGCAGTACACAAAAAGTCATCTACACGTTTTCCACATTAATGTTAGACTATCTACACATTTCTCACTGCATTCTGACCTAAGTACCCTTTCAAACTTTCACTATTACAGCAATGTTGAACCACTATCAAGAAGCATAACATCCTGCAGCAAACAAAACTACAAGTTTTTTACATTCAAGTGTACTCTGGTCCAGTATTTGCTTGCTGACAATATGTGCCCTTATATTCCAGTTCTGGTTAATTTGAAAAGAAAATACTCCCACCCATGTGACAAAGAAGACTTCCACTACTGAACCCTTTGTATTACACTGGAGGGAAACATTTTCAGCAGGCTCTTCATCATCTTCTGAGCAATGTGAGGTGACCAGCCACTCACTCCTCCTGTGCACAACCGAGGTGGTCTCTTAACTCACCTGAGAAGGCTCCAGACTTATCACCTCTCCATTACATCTACAGGTGCCATCCTTCTTCCCAACTTTTGACGTCCTTACCTTTTTGATCGCCTTGGACCGTGAGACACCAGGCAGCCCCACATCATTCTTGGTCTTCCTCCCCAAGATGTTAAACTTCTGCCTGTTGACCTTCACCTCAAAGGGGTTGCTCTTGACCACAGCGATCGCTGACTTCACGGGGCCCTTGGTTGCAAAGGGTGCTGAGACCTTTCGCTTCCGCTTCGCTGCCTTCCCCATTTTGGGTTCGGGACCGTGTGGGTGGAAGGAGAGGCTCAGCACCTACTCGATGCGCGGCGGCCAGGGCTGGAGATCCAGACAGAGCGAGCAAAATGGCGCCCGGGCGGACAAAACCCCCCGAACCTGACCACGGCCCTCTGACCGATGTCCGATCACTGGAGATCTCGCCCTAGATCCCGTGAAGGGCGGCGGGGAGCGGAGGTGGCGGGCAGCGGAGCACTGGCAGACCTCCCCAAAACCGGCGTGTCCTCCCCGCACCACACGCGCTGAGACCACCCCTCACCTCTCGCGAGAGCGTCACTCAACCATCGCGAGATCTCCAGCTCTTCTGCACCCCACCCCCGCCCCCCCGCTTTGGGACGGGCCGTGGGAAGGCCGGGAAGAGTTTAGCGCACTACAGCTCCCAGCAGGCAGAGCGCAGGGTGTGCTGGGAGAGCGAGAGCTCTTCCGCGCTCTGCCTGCTGGGAGT